CTGCGAATAAGGAGCCGAGCAGCCATGAGGTGACCGGGGAAGGGGAGAGCTGCCTCCTGTGCTGCCCAACCCCTTCACTGGGACTTATTTTGGGGGTAGGGCTTATTTTAGGCCCACTCCAAAAACCAGGCTAGGGCTTATTTTCGGGATAGGCATTCTTTTCGTGGAAAGAGAATATTAAGGCAAATGTCCCCTTTTCCTCCCCAAGATTAACAGCAGAAATTATTTTCTTGCAATTGGTGATCTTTTGCTGTTCTCACTCATTTGCTGCCCAAAGATCTGAATCTGTTTCTTCTTCTTCTTCCATACAAGCATTTCTCTCCTTTGCTATCTTCAGTCTGTTTTTCTGGCTCTATTTTCCCCCCAACTTCAATTAGATTTTAAAATGCCCATGATTCCTGTTTCTGAATATTTTTTAAATTTAAAAAGCAACAACAGTGAAACAGATGTGCTTTCTGTTCTGTGTGTTGAATTTTCAGCACTTTTCCATTGTTTTGTTGAGCAAATTGAATTAAAGCTGAGTTTGCAACAGCCCACGCCCTCCAGTGCACCATCCTTGCATATGAGCATTTGAACAGTTGTGTAAATTACTTGGAAGTTTATGTTGGCACTAAACTGAGCAGCTCTGGAAAGATGAAGATCCAATACAGTCCTACCTCTTGATCCCTTTCTATGGTTACTCAGAATTCTTGCCTATAACATTTGTAATTGTTGTAATCTAACACATCCATCTATAGCCATTAGGTTTTGTACATGTGTACAAATTCCTCAGTACTGATTGCTCCTTTCCAACTCATTACTAATCTGTGTGGTTGTACTAATTTGGTAGAAAAAAATACCTGTATTTAAGCTAAGTTGTACTAAACCTTGATTTTCTTTTTTCTTTTTCTACTCTAAAATTACTGGCAACAGTAAGAATGGTCAGCATAAATTTGGATATCTGAAATTGACCCAGGTTTCTCTTGCATAATTTAGTTGAAAAGATATTGGGACTTTGTTTGCTTGGGAGGCAGGAGTTTATTAAGACTCATTTTTTATCAGTAGCCAGAAAGTAGAATGTTGAGGGGTTTTTTCCCCCTATAGCAGGGCATGAAAACTGAGGTTTTTTGTGTTTCGTGAAGTTGTAGGCTTAATGAAGCCAAATAAAATTGTCTGTTTTCAATATTGGCTGTTATAGCTGACGGCTAGCCACTGCAAAAAGTTAGCTTTTTATCATTTTGCTGTTCAGTTTCCCAACTGGTTGTAAGAAATTGTATTCTGTTTAAATATACATAAGCTAAACATATACCGGTTATTCCTTGGGGTGAGGAGTGGGTAATTCTTATTATACATTAGCAGCCTTATTTTTAAAAATCCTGGAATAAGCATTGCATAGGTCTTGGGTGCTGATTGGCTCATTCATTCTTTAGAACTATGTCCACAGTATTTAGCTGTTTCACTAATTTAGTCCCTTTGTAAAAACAGTGCAATGTGTTTGTCTGGCATGGTCTATTTTTGACAAACCCATATTGACTGCCAGTAATAGCTTGCCTGCCTTTGGTGTTCACAGATCTGTGGCTTGATCATCTTTTCCAGCATCTTCGCAGGTATTGTTGTCAGGCTGATTGGACTGTAGGTTTCCCGAATCAATAGTCTCCCTTTTTTGAAGATGGGAACTACATCAGTTCTTTTCCAGTCCTCTGGTAGTTTCCTGGCGCTATAGGATGCCTTTCAGAGGTTCCGAGATCGTGTCTGCCAATCCCTTCAGAACTTTGGGATGTAACCCATCTGGTCTTGCTGATTTCAATTCATCTAGAATGGATAGGAGTCGTCTTACAATTTTCTTGCCTATTTTGACGTATTCCTAATTTGTCTTTTATGGTATTACTTTTGATAGACTATAGTTTTTTTTCCTTTTGTGTAAAGACCTGCAAAGAATGAATTAAGCAGTTCTGCCTTCTCCCTGCTGCTCATCACCTCCTTGCCATCTTTTTCCATTAATGACTTTTTTCTTGCTTTTTTTTTTTTTTACATTTGGAACCTTTTAAACATTATTTTTGACATTTGTTGCAATTCTTAGTTCATTCTGAGCCTTAGCTTTCCTGACTTCATCTTTGCAGCTCAAGCCTATATGCTGGTATTCTGCCTTAGTTAGTCTTTGAGAGTTTGGCAGTATATTAATAACTGCCAAATAATAAAAATAATCCTAAGGTTATGATATTTTTCTTAATTCATAATTGAAATTGAGTTATTACTAAAAAGAAAGAGAGTGAAAGTGTCAAAAGTTCCAAATAACACCCCCAAGAAAAGAAGACTCCAAGGCTTGACTTCCCTCAAAGTTCCATTTTATTAGAGATGTCATATTGGCACATCTGGGAAAACCCGAATCTGAAATTTTCCAGGTTTTCCCCACCAAGACAAAAGTTCAAGTCCCTACCCAGCACCCACATGTGCATCACATGATCCAATCAGACACCATCCAACTGGAAATGCCTCTCAGTCACACCAACGCAGCTGCAGGGCAAGGTGTCCTTGACTCTCTTAAGAAAAGAATGTTATTTTGACTACCGTGTTTTTCGGAGTATAAGACGCACCTTTTCCCTCAAAAAAAGAAGCTGAAAATCTGGGTGCGTCTTATACATTGAATACAGCATTTTTTGCCTCCCAAAACCCTGCCCACTTCACTGAAATGGCCATGCATAGCCTTTAGGAGGCTTTCAGAGTGCTCCTGGGGGCTGGGGAGGGGGCAGAAATGAGTGAAAAACGGCCTGTTTTTTGTTTATTTCCCCAGCCCCCAGGAGCACTCTATAAGCCTCCTAAAGGCCATGCATGCCCTTTTTTTGACCAAAAACAGGCCCGTTTTTGGGAAGTCTGCAGAGTGCAAAAACTTTTTTTTAATTTGCCTCTTCAAAATCTTGGTGCGTCTTATACTCTGAAAAATACGGTATATCTCATCCACACTCTATATAATCCCCTCTCCCATTTTCCCACATTAGAAAATGTGGCAGGCCTGAAGGCTCAATGTAAAAGATGGTTTCTAGGTCTGACAGAAAGTGCTAAAACAATAAAAAGAAGATAAGCTTTATTGTTTTGAACCAATTTAATAAACTATCTGGTTGGCTTCTGAGACAGAAGATTACCTTTCAGAGTTTTCAATTGTTCTTGAGTCCTCTGTATGATTGGAGTAGCAAGAGACTTGTTTGCTTAACTAAATCAAATTTATCTCATTAGTTACTAGGGCCAAATCAGCATAAGTCACACGCTGCATATTTTTTTGAAGTCCTTGATGGGAACAGAGTTTATTGAAATTCTGGAATCAGAGGACTATAAGCAGGGAATGAGGGATGCATATTCTGTATCCTGAGTTGCGGCTGCTGACTATGGCTACTTTGTATATTATGAATAGCTTTTTTTAAAAAAGGCAATTTCAAAATAAAGCATGGTTGCCAATATATTCTGGCTACTGCTTTCATTTTTTTCAGAGATTTTGTGTAAAGCTATGTGATAGCTGGTTTCAGATATAATCTTACATGCTTTTGCCTTCTGTTTCATGCTGTGAAGTTCCACTGCCAATGTTTTGTCTATGGTTTACTTGTTGTTCTTGACAGAATTGTCTACAAGATTAGGCAGAGTTGTTTCCTTAGCCAAGTCAGAATTGTCTTACTAGCTATTAGTGCCAAAAAACTCCAAGTCGCATACTGAATATGCATTTGAAGTTGATGGGAAGAGAGTTTCCTGAAGTTTTGGAATCATGGATTACGAGCAGGAAAAGTTCCTGTTCGCTTTTTATTCATTGCAATATAGACATCTCTTAGTGCAGTGTTTCTCAACCTTGGCGACTTTCAGTCCTGTGGACTTCAACTCCCAGAATTCATAGCTGGCTGGGGGATTCTGGGAGTTGAAGTCCAAAGGACTGAAAGTCGCCAAGGTTGAGAAACACTGCACTAAGAGATGTCTATATTGCAATGAATAAAAAGCGAACAGGAACTTTTCCTGCTCGTAATCCA